TTCTAAAACGATGTGTGCCCGGTATGACGTGTCTTAGTCTTAGCTGCTTACTCAGCTTAAGGGCTTTTATTGGGTAGATATTTATTTGATAAGAAATCAGATTATTGAATTTGATTTTCCTGCGATGAAATGATTGGGTCCACAAACTCTTCTCTCGTCAGTTTAATCTTTCTCAGCAAACTTTTCTTTGGAAATCTTCTTGATAAATGCACGTAAATTCATTGATCAATAAGGGCTCAATTTAAACAGTACTTCAAAATTTTTTTGGAAAAACAATACAACTTAAATTCGTCATTTCCAGAATGATACACTCAGTCTCAACCAGTTTAAATTAACTTGCTTAATATGAGTGAAAGATAAAGTTAAAAAAATCAAGTGTTAAATATTATTAGAATGTATAAAGACTGCAACCTAAAGAGCCACATACGTAGAGTTTTGGTTTCAGTTGGACAAGCACTATGACATTATTGTTTTCATGAATAAGAATAAAATATTGATTGTTTTTAACAATTACACTTTCTGGAATAAGAGCAAAGATATTTTCGACCTCCTAAACAAGAGGTGTGTTCTATGGATTGAATTCATCGGCGCCATGCAACACATTTGTTATTGCAGATCGAGTAAGGTATCCCTCCAAAATGGTAGATGAGCCAACGGAGTAGAGCAACGAAAGAATCGATCCCGTAATCTTTCTCCTTTATATGCACTCTGTTGCTGACCCTACTGGCTTCGGATTGGCCAGTTTGGGGAGGTGTGTCATGTGAATACGCACAAGCGCATGAAGTCCCAGTGATGAATGGGTATACTAGTAAGCCAGGAAACTGTAAATCAAGGGCCAAATTGAATCTATTTGTGTATATATACATGTATGTGTGTGCGTGTTCATGTGCAGGACGGCAAACTCCTGATGGTAGAGGCGCAAAGTTCTTCCAAGAGTCGTCGTGGCAAGATGTACTAAAACAAGGTAAGAGTTTAGATGAAATAGATACTTGTTCAGCAAGGGCTGTTAGTCGAATGTCAGAGCCAGAGCCAGAACCTGACGAGTATGTTGAGACCATCTTCTGTTTGGCGATGTCAATTTGTCATGGCCCCGAAGATGTGGTGATGGCACACAAGCTGCTGAATCCTACAGAGTTTGTTGAGTCAGCCGAAGTGATGGCGGTTGGCTGAAGAAAAGGAGCGGGAAATCGGGTTACTACGCTGTCCCTTCGGTAAGTCTTGCTGGATCTTCCAAAGAGGAAAATCGAAATAACCAGTCGAGGGCACATAATGAATCGATAGCAAACTTGTGAGCATAGGAGACTTTATAGATTCTGTATTCTTGGGGCATGAATGGAGGAGGGAAAATAAGAGTGAGAAGTGCCAAGGCGAGACAGACATTGGATGAGGCCCAGTCCAGTTGTGAGCCTGAAGAAGATGGCCCGAAGAGCCAAGATCGAAAAGCTTTCCCGTTCCTCTCTTCTCCAACGCCATCCATCCTGTATGTGTGTACTGGCAAGGCGATAAAGATGACGTATGGAAGTTGCCCACTTTTCTTCTATTATCTCTCCTTCCTCCCATCCGGATTCCTCTCTTCTTGCTCCTCCTCCCTCTGCCCTCGGGTCGACAGTGTCACAGAGGACTCCACGACCACCGCTTCCTCGGAGCCTCGACCAGCAACTGTACCGCCTCAGAAGACGCTGGTCAGCCGCGAGTCTATTCTCACAAACCTACTGAAAGTGGAGCACTTTCGAGCGCTGTACAACCTGGCTCTGGGCCTGTTCACTCTGCTCTCGACGCATGTCATCGTGAATGATCTGCTGAAACTGGGCGCGAGGTCAACCTGGGAGCTGCACATTGGCCGACTGACTTGGTACTTTGCCGGAATGCCTCAAGTACTGGTCATCTGGACCGGAATGCTCCTTTCCGCTGGCCTGGTGCCCTTTTATGCGTTCTACGCGTGGGTCAGACTGAGGGCTAGGCAACCGGACACAGGAGAAGAGGGCTTCTCGAAGGCAGCTGTGGACAGGCTGTTCTGCTTGATATACATTGCCTACCAAGTAAGTGACGACAGAGCATAACGGATTGACCGGTGAGTTTCCCTCCCCCCCTTCCCCACCCTGACATGAGAAGGCTTCAAGTCTCCGTTGCATTTTATTTGGCGTTGCTTCCCAAATGGTATTCTCATCCCGGCTGGACGGCAGGTTCGACCTCGTCTGTGTCGAAACAACACACCAGCGGAACTCGGTTGGAACTCGTATTCAAGATTTGCTGATAGCTTCGAGGCCTATCCTAGACAGATATAGTAAATAGCATCAAGCGCAGGACGACCTGGGCATGTGAGTCTTGGCTCGCAAGAATTATGCCAATATAGACACAAGCATTATTATGATAATGAAATGCTCAAGGACGAGGACTCGCCCCAACGACTAGCATTTTAATATACCTTAAAATATGCCGCAGAGTCACGGCAGTTTAATGGAACTATCTGATGCAATGATTCGGTTCTCTCAGCTGTCCAGTTAAGGGATGGCAATTTGGATAAGAATCTAGACTTTGTATGGCGTTCAAGGTAATTTTTTAGTAAGGCTAGTTAACTCGAAGGTATGATGAACAAGATGATGTGGTACTTGGTCGTATGGACGAGTTGTAATGTGGTGCTAGATGGGAAAATACCAACTGATGATGCCGAACACGGTGCCTGAAAAACGTTTGAGAATGTACAAAGTGCACAGTCCGACCGTAAGCAGGATCATGCACAATGTGGAGTCCTGACAAGATGTGTTTCTCTGTATCTGTCTGAAAATAGGATTACGTCGCGAAAACAAGCACACAAAAATGCTATGCAATGTAGATAAGAGGAAGTTG